TATCCACATGATATACTTTTTGTGCATATTGGTTCCTAAAAGTTGAAAAAAGTTTGAAAAAACTAGGTTTTTTGTCATTTTTTGGACCTCATGACTATATCAGGCTTTCTAAATATTTTTAAATTGCAGTATTTTGTAGATCTCATCTATATCTACAAACATTACATGCATAAACTACAGATTTTATGTAGTTTGAGTAGTGAAAATTAACTTTGAAGTCAAAAATTTGCATATTTTTTGCTATATTCTCAATTGTGATCCACTGACCATGTCCGGCTCCCAAATTTTATTTCATTAATTTGTAGACTCTAGTATGTTCTATCAATTAATGCAATAAGAAAAAAGAATCACTTGCCGGAAAGCTTAAAAATATGAGCCTGAAGTTGGTCTAGTGAGGTATCTCAAAATTCAAAATGAATTTTCACATACCAGTCTTAATGAAAGGAACTGAAATTTTCAGGTTTTATTCAAAAAGCAATGTTCTTAACATCCACAACAAAAGTTTTTAATTAAAAACACAATTTTGTTGAAAATTTAGGCAAAAAGTGATATATGATGTTATGAAACCATTAAATGCTCAATAAAGCTACTTTAACTAGTTAAATCAAAACATTTCTGCAATTTTCATAAAGTTCTAGCATAGATCTATAGAAAAAAGTCCAAAAATTAAAAGTGGAATGACCTTTGTGCCTAGTAGTGGCAGTCAAAGTATGACATATTGGACCTAGCATATCTGTTCTTCTAGCTGCTAATGAGCTTTAATTTCTTTTTAAATACATTAACACTACTTTAAGCTTTCTAACAATACCAAAATTATTGCATACACTTAAGATTTACAATAGTTCTAACCAAAAATGTCAAGCATAGGTTTCCAGATTCGGTAAAATTTGATACATTTTTTAAAATTTTGATGATATTTACTAGAAATTACATATTTATATGACTTATTATACACCATTGAAAAGCTTTTTAAATGAACTTTATGAAAATTGCAGAAATGTTTTGATTTTAACTAGTTAAAGTAGCTTTATTGAGCATTTAATGGTTTCATAACATCATATATCACTTTTTGCCTAAATTTTCAACAAAATTGTGTTTTTAATTAAAAACTTTTGTTGTGGATGTTAAGAACATTGCTTTTTGAATAAAACCTGAAAATTTCAGTTCCTTTCATTAAGACTGGTATGTGAAAATTCATTTTGAATTTTGAGATACCTCACTAGACCAACTTCAGGCTCATATTTTAAAGCTTTCCGGCAAGTGATTCTTTTTTCTTATTGCATTAATTTATAGAACATACTAGAGTCTACAAATTAATGAAATAAAATTTGGGAGCCGGACATGGACAGTGGATCACAATTGAGAATATAGCAAAAAATATGCAAATTTTTGACTTCAAAGTTAATTTTCACTACTCAAACTACATAAAATCTGTAGTTTATGCATGTAATGTTTGTAGATATAGATGAGATCTACAAAATACTGCAATTTAAAAATATTTAGAAAGCCTGATATAGTCATGAGGTCCAAAAAATGACAAAAAACCTAGTTTTTTCAAACTTTTTTCAACTTTTAGGAACCAATATGCACAAAAAGTATATCATGTGGATATTCATAAAAAAGTTCTCACTTGTATCTATCAAATTAAAAAAAGTTGAAGACAAACGGATAAGTAGGTCAAGCACAATAGCAGTTTAAAAATTACGTGAAGTACAAAAATTCAAACCCTCTTTTCTCGTGGACCAGGCACTTCCGGAGAAAAAAATTATTTTTCCCATAAACTAGGGACTAATGTCTACAAAATAAGCATATAAGCTGAATTTTTGACAAACTTTTCACTTTTTCGATCAGCGTGGAGTCATTGAATACATTCTAATACTGTTTTGCTCCTGACTTTACAGACTCCGAGAGATTTTTAAGCTGCTTGACTGTCAGCTATGATATTGTTTTCCTGTGTTGATGTTTCTTCCAAACAGATTTCTGCACATTTTTTGATGGAAAGAAGTTCTGCCTGGAAGACATTTGCATGTTCGTTGATACTGAAATTGAATTCTTATTGAGAGTTAGTGCTATAAACTCCAGCTCCTACACCTTCACTGTTTTTCGCACCATCTGTAAACCAGATGACTGAGTCAGCTTTTAGACTGTCAAATTGAGAGAATTCATTATTCTTGAGATCCTATCGGGCTCTGTCCAATAAGCAGGATTCTTATTAGCAGGAGGAAAAAATTAGCATATGTTGTCACATTATGAAATCCATCAAGTAGAACGGTGACCTAACTAATTGAGTCATGTACTTTACATGGGTTTTTGTGAAAGCAGAAAAATAGCCTTTTAAAATTTTGTGAAATTACCAGTTCCGAGATTTGAGCGTTTGAAAATAAAGCTAGGCCGATTCTTTACTTTTTAAACGTTCGACTGTAAATCTGACGAGTTTTGACCAAAATTGTTCAAACTTGGTCAATAATTTGTGCAAGTGTTGCTGGGTGTTGCTTAATCGATTATAATAAACAAAAAATTTTATCAAGCATCACTGCAAAATAAGCTAGTTTTTTTACTCTTTTGACTGTAAACTCAAATTTTAAAACATGCAAAAGTTTTAACAGTCCAAAATATGAAAATGAAGTGTGCTAAGTTGGACTTTTCCTGAAAAGTATATTACGATTAGACGAAATAAAATCAAAATAGTATTGAAAAAAAAAATAAATTAAATTTTAATATTTGAACTTTTTATTCGAATTTTTGTTGCAATAATCAAATCGGACAAAATTTTCGGTTGAACCAAAATGGAAAATTAAGACAAAAGTATCATATTCATTAGCTTTCTCGAGATAAATGTCTGGTTGTTTCTTAATTAGCTACCTTTAATGTTAAATTTCGATTTTTTGAATCTAAATCACTACACTCTCATCCTTTTAAGAATTTAACTGTTTTGTTCAAATTGCTTTTTAATCAAAAAATCTTAAATTTTTAGAAGTTATTTTATTCAACTTTATTTTTCATTCATTTATATCTTTATATCTTGGTATTGTATTAGGTAATACATTGTAGTTCGAACGCGTTCGTTATTTTTGAACTGTTTGGCTAATATAAAGCAAAAACTCTTTTCTTTTAAACAGAGATCGAAGCCGATTTTTTCGGCTTAACTCAATTTTTGATTTTTTTTGATAGAAAAGAGCCATTTAACTACCATTTTAAGTATTTAAATTGAACTTTATATGCTTTGCTATGATTCTGTGTGATATTTTGTCAGCATGTAGCTATAGTAAGCTCAGAATTTCGGCTTAAAATCGTTTAACTTGAAATTCTGAGCTTAATATAGCTACATGCTGACAAAATATTACACAAAATCATAGTAAAGCATGTAAAGTCCAATATAAATACTTGAAATGTGTGTTAAATAGCTTTTTACTATCAAAAAAATCAAAAGTTGAGTTAAGCCGAAAAAATCGGCTTCGATCTCTGCTTTTAAATAATCTTCACATTTTTAACATTTATGATACATGAAATCAAAGCACTTTGTAAATGTTTTCATATTTGAGACAATTCGTAATTTGTTCTTAACTTTGTGTTCTAAATCGAAATTTTCAATACTTTAATATTTCGAGAAGCATAATCTTTTGAAAACCAAGAAGTTTCATAATTTTGAGAAAAAAAATAACTTTTTATCTAAGATTTAAGTAGACCAGGTGGTTTTGTCTACTGTTTATGTTTTAAAAATTTCAATTTTCTATTAGGTTTCGAATGAACCACAAAAACGCTTTTTTATTTAAAAATAGAATTAATTTATTTTAAACATAAATCAAGAATTAATATTTAAAGAATCAACAAAGATAAATTCTCCCATTCTTATAATATTGAGATTATTTAACAAGACTTTTTTAAATTTATTCTAAGATTGTTACTAAGGAACTAAACTTTGGCTAATGTTTTAAAACACGCCTTAATATATTTCAGCACTACCAATTACATAATTTTTTTTAAATATATATACTTTTTGCATTTCGAATTTAAATACTACTAATGTTTTTAATAAATTTTGATTTTTTTTTCTTTCAAATACTGCTTTAGTAACTTTAGTTAAATGTACACCATTAAAATAAATTTCTTAATTGATTGAATTTTTGTGCATTTTGGACAAATATAAATTTTTTTTAAGTGTCTTAATTCTGTTAAATGCTTGAGTTAGGTATATGGAGTATGCTGTGTTTGAGGTAGTCAATTATTGAATTATTCTTTGCCATTTGTAAAATTATTTTTAAAAAGGTAATGTGTGAGAAGTAATTAAAGTAACAAAACAATTGATCTTTACACTTTCTTCACAATCTTATATTAATAATACTGAAATTATCAATACTTATATTTTTAATTTTATTCTAAATTTCAGTTCTTTTAGAAATTAGATTTACGATAAACATTTTAGGACAAATAACAATGGCACATAGAGGTAGGTTGTTATTTATAAATAAATTTGTTTCTTTTTGAAATATAAACAAAAAATCAATAAATTAATCTCTAAACTTTGAGGGTGATCCAAAAACTGACGTCCAACAATTTGACGAAGTGTGAAATTTCAATTAAAATCTTATCAATACTTGAAGTATTTATGTCCAGCATAATGCTTCATGAAATATATTTCATGAAATTCAAGCAATTGAATGCAAATACCATTTTTAATTATGAGGGCATTCAAATTTCTTAGATTTCTTTGTGAAAAATCTCATGAGTTCCACAGTTAAATAAATAACTTTAAAACAAAATATTTTTTACATTAATCGTATTAATCATTATCAATTATTTTTTATAAAACTTATACTTACTTTATGAAATTATTTTCCTTAATATATTGTCATTATAAGTCAAATTTTGTGATTGTCTAACCTTAGAAGCTTATTGATAGCAATATTGATTCAGATAATGAAATACATATTATATTTTTTATGTACTCAAGATTTTCAGCAAGTTTTGTTTTTTGGAAATTTTTGTAATTTTATGCTATTTTCGTAAAATTGTAATTAAACCAAATTAAAATTATCACATTTTTAACTGTAGAACTCACACTTGAGCAATATTTCTTCTGTTTTTAATTAAAGTCAATCAGCTTTATAATTATTGAGATAAAGAAATTTTGTTAATTTGCATTATTTTCATTACATTTTCCGACTAATGCTAAATCTAACCCAAATTTTGTCCATCATACTTATTGCTTATGAATTGCTAACCATAACTCTGGATATGGAACCTTTTCCAAATATTGATCTTGTTTATGCTTTTTTTCCACAGAACGTGGAGTATCAATTAATGCGGTTACTGAGGCTCCAAGAATATTTAAAAAGGACAAGAATGTTTGAGGCACTGAAAAAAAAATATTATTATTTCAAATCAAATGTAGAACTAGTTTTATGTCGTTTTTTATAAAATAAATAAAAAAATACCCAATTTTCCAAATATAGCTGTAGCACCAACAAATGGGCTGGTTAATAACCAAATTCGTGCCCATATTGTAGAAGTATATCCACATATACGACGTTTCTCAGGAGACACAATCTCTGTTGTACAACTTATTAGAATTGACAATGTTGAACTGATTGCAATTTTAGAAACCATTGATGTGACCATTAATAAAATTACTCTATGTAAGCCAGTAACTGTTGGTAAAATATTTCATTTAAAATAATTTTTTTTAAAACTGATTTAAAAATTAAATTACCATCAGGTGGAATAAGATGTGCAGATAATGATATAAATGAGGCAATAATGTTAAAAATGCTTGTGTAAAGCCACTTTTGCTCAGTATTCAATATGAACCATAAGCCTATAAATGTACCGATGATTTCACAAATACCTAATAAACATTTTAAAAATTCATTAGGTATTAAAATATAACAAAAAAACAAAAACAACAAAGGTTACCTGCGACGATAGTATTTTCTTCTAAATATTGTCGTCCAAAATTCCGTATATTTAATAGAAATCCATAATAAATTACTATATACACTGACCTACAAAACAAATTTATAAATTTATGATCCTGACGCAAAATTATATTTTTAATCAATTAACCATGAAAGATGCACAGCTGTCAAATTTTTGTACTGTCCTCTCCACATTTCGAAGTAAGATGGATCTTTGGGAGCATGCCTTAATGCCATTGCTTGTATTTGAAGCTGTTTTTCTAAGTTGTTTGGAGAAAAGTCATTTTTTCCATTAACCCTCGCAGCTTCTAACAGGACATTTTTAGCATCTAAAACTCTTCCTTTTTGAAGTAGCCATCTTGGTGAATTTGGGATCCAAGGATATAGACAAATTAGAATAATTGTAGGAAAAGATATTGCCATGTATAGATAACTCCAGCTTGACCTATTAATTAATTTGGTTATCATATTTATTTAAAAAAAAAACTTTCTAGCTTAAGTGCATAAAATTTACCAATAACTTGCCACTGCAGGAAGTAACATTATTCCAATTGACCAGAATTGTTCAAACAAACATGTTGTAACTATCCGTTGTTTTCCACTTGTTATATCCGAAACTAATTTTTTTAAAAAAAACATAATGATAAGTAAATTTTAAAAATATGCAAAAAAAAAATTATTACATATTAATCCACCAGCTGTATACATTAAGCCACAACAGATTGCGGAAAGGCATCTAAATATCATGTGTAATTCGAACGTATGAGCGTGTCCAGTCATATTACCACAAACAATTTGTGTGATCATTCCAATAAGCATGACACGTCGTGGTTCAATAAATTTCAGCATGTTTGTTGCAATTATTCCTCCACAAAGGACACCAAAGAGATGGAAAAATTGTGTTACTGCTACGAGTATATCTCTCGAACAATAAAGATCATACTGAGTAATGATCGAATGGTAAATTTTTTTATGTTCAAACGTTTTACATGGAACCAATATCGAATTTTTTTCGGGAGTCTCAAAAAGATCAATATCGTCGAATTTGTTGGTACTTTGTGAATCATTAAGAAAGCGCACAACATGTTCTTTTGCATCTTCATAAATATTGCAGAAGTCAATTGTTACTTCTTGATCCAATTCATCTCTTTTTGAAGTGTATGCAATTTTTATCCATTTTTTTGAAGGATCAACTGGCTTGCAAAATACTTCGCTGTGCTCCGGTGTTGGTGCAGTAAAAATTACACATGACATGAACCACGAACTCGGAATTTTACATAAATAAATAAGCAAAATTGTTCTCAATTGCCATCTTCCAAAAGGTCCTAGGAAATTACCAACATAATCATAAGTTTCTTGAACTTCGTTAGTTTCATGCTGCTCAAACGCTTCTATAATGGATGATCTGTCTGTTATACATGCACCGTTGCTTAAGCATTTTGAACGTTCACGTTGTTGATGGCGTTTAAGCGACATCGCTAATTCTTTAATTTCTTTCGATCTTATTCCATTTGACGTTTAAATTGATTTGAGCAAACTTTTTTCGATAAAGAATTAATTTTAAAAACAAAAAAACATTCAGTTTCATTAACGTTGATGAATTCTTTAATCCAATGTTTCACACACTTTTTCATAAGATTGAATTTTACATCATTTTTTTAAAAAGGAAATTATATGCTTACCTGGAAGCATTCACATACACACAGAAGCTTTCCCGCCTTCTTTGAACAAAATAGAACAGAGTTCTTGTTACCTTATTATAAGTTAGCACGATATCATTTATAATAATTTTTTTTTATTGTCCACCATAATCAGCCAGTCTCATTTGGATCTAAGTGTATATACACAATGTATTGATAAAACATGCATTTAAAATCTCAAGGACATTATTGTTTACGTCCGTCTTATTGAGCAAATTTAAGCTCCTTTTCACAAACACTATGAAATTTACACTAGTATTTGTTTCCAGATTTTAAAAGAGTATATGTTTGAAATTATGAATGAAATTGAAAAGCTCAATTATCCCTCAAGTATTTGAACATTTTTTTTTTTCGGAGAAATATGTATTGCTTTTTCCTTGTTGCTCTTTCCTGAAAAGTATGTTGAATGTCACATTTTTTGTTTAATCCTTATTAGAATTATAAACAATTTTAAAAATGACGAAAACGATTGCGCAATTAGCACTAAAAGAAAAAATATATATATTCTTTTAAATTTCAGATTAATTCGAGGATGAAATGTCTAAACTCAGTCTTAAATAATAGTTCTTCACTTTAAAAACTGAATAGAAAAACTTAAATTAATATTTTACTGCTCTTTCTCTATTAATAATTTTCAATTCAGAGCTAAGTATGACAAGCTTTCTACGGAAGTCCAGGACAAGGTAAAAATCTCCTGTTTTATACCAGATCATGTAAGTATGTTGTGAATGTAAAAAGCTTTTTACACATACAATAACATAGACTCAATGTTTTATACTTTCTCTGGGTATAATGTAAACGACCTGTCACAGGAAAAAAAAATCTCAAAACTCTGACGCAAATTTTAAAAAAAAATTTAAAGATGTCCTCGTTTTATTGATCGAAGGACTTAAGCGCATTTTTGACGCAGCGATCATTATTTGATTATCTAATTATTTTGCGTTCGTAACAAAAAAAATTGTAACAAAATGTAACATAGGGGGGGGGTCAAGAAGTATGTAATGTTCTAATTGTCGTCTGTCTTTTAAAAAAAATTCACGAAAAAAATTTGTTTACAAATTCACACCAAAAACATTTTTTTAAATTTTCCAACTTTTTAATGATTTATGAATGTCCAGATCACTTTTGATAGCTAAGCAATACATAGTTTTTGTTATATAAAGTAGCAAATCAATAGAAAACTGGTTTACAAGACTTTAAAATACAATCATAATTTGTGGAAATTTTCAAAATTAAATCAATCATACGTATAAAAATAAATCTCTCTAAATCTGTAATTTAACCTTCTTTTTAGAATAAAAAATTGTCAAAATAAAATAAATTATGAACGTTCAGGGGGGGGGGGGGGGGGGGGGGAGTATACAAAAATGCAAAAATGTACAATTATATAAACTTTTAAATTGTAAATTGTATACATTTGTTTTATTACATAAACATTTGTTAAGATTTGTTGTATAAAAACTTTTTAATTATAAAGCGTATGTAATTAAAATCAGAATCAAATAAACTATTTAATTATCATTTCTCGTGGACGTTAAGCCTCGTGGAAATTTTGTCAAAAATCCGTTTTCTTTATAAAAAATATCAATCAGGAACCTAGAAACGAAATCATTTTATTTTTGGCTGTTTCAACACTGCTGATTTTTTTGTGGTGCACAACTAATTTTGAAAATATTTTCTAGATGGCACTAGTCACAATAAAAGAGCTGATTGAGTTGCTCTTTGCTGAACTTTTTTGAATTAAATATTATTGTGCATTGTTTAATAATTTAATAATGTTTTATTCAAATGTTTTATGAATTTTAAATATTAGGTTGAAAATTTAAAAAAACTTGTTTGTATTAACCAATCTTAAACATAATTTTAATTTAGAAATCACTTTTTTCAGATTTTTCACTTGATGATGAACTCAATATTGCATTTTTTAAAATATCTTGTGTTATAACTTCAGCCAGTAAATCGTCATTAATAATTTTAGTTTGAAACTCAGATTTTGAATCGACATCTTCATTCCAATTATCATATGATTTGTTTAATTCATCATTTTCTTCATTATCTATTATGCTATATAAAATGTCTTCAACAATTATTGCTGCTAAATATTCAGCTTCTTCAGACTGTTTACGCAAACATACTTTTTTATCTGATTTGCGTTTGAAAGATACTAAGGTTGCATTTTCTAAGATTTCATTAAATATGGAAGAGCACAGAAAAAGCACTTCTCCCTTTTTAAAATGTTCATATTCCTCTGTATATAAACTGTAATGAGCATTAATCAAATATTGTTTTTGGAGTGAAGCCAATTTATTATTTTTGATTGTGTGCATCTTTTCATATAGTATGTTACTTTTAAGAAGTTCGGTAATACTTTTTTGATTAACCTCAAATGTGTCTAAATTGTCACTAATATTGTTCAATTGAATGAAAAGAGATGCATCGTTCTTATCAAATGTTTCTTTTTTCTCTGCTTTTTTATCAATATTTCGAGCCATTTCTCTAATAAAGTCTCTTGAGTTGTCATCAAATGCACGATTAATTCCTTCAAGAAGTATGTTTTCTAAATAAACAGTGATGGAATCTTCTTTGAACTCTTTTTCGCTACTCGTTCCTCTAAAGTTTTCAGATTCACGTCTGTATCGTTCTCGTTCAGCTAGTAAAAAGAGCGCATGCGCCTGTTTTTCAATATTCAATCGATTTAGCTCTTTTTCAAAATAGTTTAACAGTTTACGTTCATCACTTGATTGAATTTTTTCTAGATCTTTATGCAATTTTGAATCAAGTTTGTTGTATTTTGTCATAATTTCTTTTTGACAATCAATTTGTTGGCAAAATTCTTCTGGAAAAATATTTTTTACTGAGGCTATCGAATGAGTTTCTTTTGTTTCTTGAATAACATCTTGAATTTTTTTCATTCCTTTTTGAAGCATGCTCTGTATAGCTCGTCCTTTTATCGTCTTCTGCATTAACATTTTATTTTGGTACTTTTTAACATCGTGGTCATCTGTAACTTGTAAAAGCAATGATAATGAAATGTTTTCATTCTTGACAGATGCATTTTTTTCAAAAAACTTTTTTTGATACTTTTTTTTATGTCGGAAATGTTTTAATGTTTCATGAAGCCGTTTTAAATAATTTTCATTCCATACACCACGTATGATTTCATGTGGTGGCTTTTTTGGAATCCACAATTCTTGTCTGGAAGGTTTTAAATAATTTTGTATGTTTTCAAAACCTTCTCGTTCTAATGATGCAAATCTAATTAAGATAAAATAACATTTACAAAATAATTTTTTTTAAAAATGAATTTTTATCAAATATAAACATTCGTGATTAATTCCAAAAACTTGGACTTCTTGGCATCGAACTCTGAATCCCACTTAAAACCCCTACTATAATTGATGAAGAATTGAGTGATTTCAACTGGGATTCGAAGTTTGATGACAGAAAGTGCTAAGATTAATCTCGAGTTTATACGTCTTGATTTTTATCAAGCCTACCTATTTTTATTAACTCCAATAGAATTCTCGATTTGAATTTGTTTTTTTAGGTTGGTTACTTTTTTCATTTGTATTTTTGGAATAGCATAATCTGATTTTTTATCGTAATGAAGTAATACCGGATCGTTTTTTAAATCTCTCATTGTGTCCTTACGTTGTGAAATATCAATTTTTCTCATACTTCTCTGAAACTTGTGACTAAAGATAAAACAAAGAGATATGTTTCATTAGTTTTATAAAAATTTCATATTATGAATTACCAAAATCGAAGATTCATATTTGATATAAAAAATAGCGTTTTACGTTCAGTGCTATTTTAAATTTCTTGAAGCAAAAGTTTGAATTTAAAAAAAAACCTACTTTTAAGAAGATAAACAGTAAAAATAAAGCAAAGAAATGTACCAATGGAGTTGATATTTGCTCCTTCTTTTTTGTTCAAAGTTCAAACTTTTTTTTAATCGAGCTCGACTCGAATGTTTATCGTTTTACTCCGTTCCGTTCAACTGTATATAGATTAAAGTAGGTTTTTTTGCTATTTTCTCCTTTCATCCGCAGTCTTTAGTAAATCAAAGTTCTTTGCTTGTGCTTTGCTGCGTTCAAATTAGAAATCTCTCGAATTATTTTATATAATTTAAGTCATAACCGGAAAAAATATATGAATTTCTTTAAGAATAACTTTTTAAAAGATTTGGTGTCAATATGAAAAGTCCTGAACTTCAAATATGTGCGGTTTCAGTGTAAGTTTTAATGTGTACAGCAGTAAAATAAATTAAAACTCTAATCATAATAACAAAGAAATGGTTTAATATTTGTATGTACCAATCCATAGCACAAAACGTCTGGATTCTTAATATAAAGATTTTATTCACATCTAGGAACTATGCTTTCCCGATGACGAAATCGAGACCGAGACTTCCCGGGAAGTCTCGGTCTCGATCTCGTCTCGGTCTCGAGAATTTTCCGAGACCGAGACCCGAGACTAGAGAAGAAAAAAAATTAAGTAAAAATTATAATTTTAGAATTTTCCCCATCACAGTTTGTAGTTAATCTTACAGTTAGGGTAAATGACCTTGAAATTTGCGCATTTTCACACATGAAATTTTCATTTGCTTCAATCTCTTCGGAGGTATGGGATTTTTTCTCTTTTTGTATGGGATTTTTCGGGTGCAAATTATTATGCAAAAACATCTGCGCTGGTGTTTTACAAACATTTCCCATTGATAGTCTGAACAGAAGTGACATTTTTACATATAATTTTAAAATTTTCGTTTTCATACGAGTGCGCAAATTTCAAGGTTGCGCAAATTTCAAAGTCATTTACACTATCCAATTTTTGTGAATAAATATCAATAATAAATTAATTATTAGTAAATGTTTAAGCAGTTTTTAAAATGTATTAATATTTCAACGTAAAACCTGAATTTAAAATAAAAACTCCTATAGTTTTTCATAGTTTGAAACTAAATTTACCGTTATCGAACTTATTGACATTTTCACAAAAAAAAAAAAACCAATCAGCAATAATGTTTTGACCAAGCAAAGGAAGCGATTGCTTAACAAAAACTTAAATGCTATCGTTTTTGTGAAAAGTCATTTCCAAAACCCAGAATAGTTTTAATAGGGACACACTTTCTTATCATTATGCTTTTCTTTTATCATTACGTATTTCGTATTTCTTTTATATTTTATATTAGTATTAAGACAATAAAATTAGTTTGACTGATCGCATAACAAGGAATATATCCAGAAGTTCAATAACAAATAGACGTAATCTACATGTTCTAAGTGTTTTTTAATTACTTTCAGCGAAATTTTAAGTAGTTTTTAAAGTCGAGACTTCCCGGGAATTACCGGGAAGTCTCGGTCTCGGTCTCGGTCTCGAGAATTTGTCGAGACCGAGAAATCGAGAAAGCTTAATCTAGGAACAAAATAAATAAAACCTTTATATATAATACAAGTTCAAGTAGGAACCAAGTCACGATCGAGTTCTCAATAAAAAGATTACAGATCTGATTATATCTATATATATCAGAGATCGAAGCCGATTTTTTCGGCTTAACTCAATTTTTGATTTTTTTGATATAAAAAAGCCATTTAACACCCAATTCAAGTATTTAAATTGAACTTTACATGCTTTACTATGATTCTGTGTAAATTTCGGCTTAACATAGAAAAGATTAACAATTTAACATCTTTAGTTCTCATATATAAATTGTTTATCATTTAACAGTTTTCTGAAGTTCAAATTTTGTAACGGTCGTATGCATTTGAAAGTATCTTGCCAAAAGTTGCAGTAAAAGCATTAATTATAGTATAAATAACAGTCTGTTGCAAAAAAAAAATTCATATAAAAAAGCTATGTAATTCAACGGTTTTTTGAGATTCAAAAATTTTCAACGGTAGAAATAAATTCGAATTTCTAAACGCTCTCATCACGTGTTTTTTCATATGAAATATAAAAATCATTAATTATAATACAAAAACACTGTTTCAAGACTTTTAAATGCGATTCCCGAAAATAAAACAATGGACTTAAGCTAATAAAACAAACAAGAACTCTCTACGATGTAGACGAACAAAGTGAATTATTAAGCTACCTTTTCGAAACAAGTTTCAAAAATGCGCTAAAAAATACTGAGCATGTGCAAATTCGAATGCAAATTCATGTAAACTTAGAGCGCAAATATCTCGAAGCGAAAACAGCATCAAACGACATCCCCATATTAATATGGGAGATAGATTTAGCCTTGTTCAATTGATCTATTTAGGTTTCAGAGAGGTCTTTGGAATACTTTTTAACTTATTAATAGTTTAAATTTTGTAAATAAAAATACCAGAGATCGAAGCCGATTTTTTCGGCTTAACTCAATTTTTGATTTTTTTGATAGAAAAAAGCCATTTGACACCCATTTCAAGTATTTAAATTGAACTTTACATGCTTTACTATGATTCTGTGAAATATTTTGTCAGCATATAGCTATAGTGAGCTCAGAATTTCAATTTAGTCGATGCTAAGCCGATCGGCTTAAATTTCGGCTTAAAATCGGCTAACTTGAAATTCTGAGCTTCCTATAGCTACATGCTGACAAAATATTACACAGAATCATAGTAAAGCATGTAAAGTTCAATTTAAATACTTGAAATGGGTGTTAAATGGCTTTTTTCTATCAAAAAAATCAAAAATTGAGTTAAGCCGAAAAAATCGGCTTCGATCTCTGAAAAATACTCAGATTTCAATTGCATTTTTAAAACTTAATAAGCAGTTTTGTATTGATTTGGTAGTATTAATATTTAAATCTTAGCTTAACTTAGCTAACAAAAGCTAGCTGGATATCGAAATAAAACTTCAAGTAGAGAAAATCAAAGTTTTTTTCAGAGGGCGAAGCCGAGTGAAGTTTAGTCGACTATAGTCGACTAAAACCGACTAAAACTTAGTCGGCTTTAGTCGACTAAAGAATTAACGGTTTTTTCCTTAGTCGGCTATAGTCGACTAAAACCGGCTAAAGTCGACTAAAGCCGCGACTAAGATCGACTAAAGAAGGATTTTTTGGCTTGTGAAGTATAAAAATTTCATACAAAAATTCTCTTATTTTTGTCATTCAGGTTCGAATCTCAAAATATTTTTTGACTTTTTTAAATTTCTCAGCATGTTAAAAATATTGTGCTTTACATCGTAGATACCTAAAAAATCTTAATTAAATTACTGCTAAAGACGCTTAATTTTTTCGAAATTTATCTAAGCATGACATTGAAACATTTTTTTGTGTTTAACCGTGTTCATATCTATTTTGATATCTTATTTGACAAAACTCATTGCAACATAGCCATAGGTAGTTTAATTACCAAAATTTATTTTTAATGGTACAAATTTGAATTTTTTTTTTTTTTTTTGAATTGCAAAATTTTAAAACATCACATTATGCACCCAAAACACTCTTAATGCAGAACTGTAGAAGTTTTAACTGTTTTTAAAAATACAATTGACGATTCAAAATGACTTAAGTTACATTAAAGCATTAAATTGCATCATAATTTAACCAAACATTTTTTTTTGAATATTTACGAGAAATCTAATCAAATTTTTAACGGCTTATGATCATTCAAACGTTCTAAAACGTATTCATAGTTTAACAAGGATGGATGATTTGCCTTTGTTGTATCGTTTAGCAAGAGTTTTATTTGCTATTCAACCTATGAGTACTGAGGCGGAACGTAATTTCTCAATATCAAACTCATTAATGACTCAAAAAAGAGCATCCTTAAATCCTGAACGAGCTCATAGAATATTATTTCTGCACCATAATATAGAGTACCTATTAGAATCCTTGAACAAGAATGATTAATTCATACTTAGATTATGAGATTAATCTACTAATAATGACTTAATAATATGTTTTTGTTATCCTGGCTATATCTTAAGTCCTTAATATAGAATGTTATTTCATTCGTATTTTAAAAGGACACTTTTTATGACATTTTTATTTTTTATTTTTCTTATAATACTCCATAAATGAATAAAACTAATATTTTGAATGAGTACTTAAAATATACTTTTACAACTTTAATCTTTTTAATTTAATAATATTTGATTTAAACAATTTTAATAATACAAATTGAATGTTTAAAAAAGTCAAAAAATATTTTGAGATTCGAACCTGAATGACGAAAATAAGAGAATTTTTGTATGAAATTTTTATACTTCACAAGCCAAAAAATCCTTCTTTAGTCGATCTTAGTCGCGGCTTTAGTCGACTTTAGCCGGTTTTAGTCGACTATAGCCGACTAAGGAAAAAACCGTTAATTCTTTAGTCGACTAAAACCGGCTAAGTCGATTTTAGTCGACTATAGTCGACTAAGCTCGGCTTCGCCCTCTGGTTTTTTCATATACAAATTGTAAACTAATTTCGGTAGAGATTAAATTAGCGATTTCTTGAGTTAGACAGCAAGCAGGGACGAGATATTTTCATAGATTATGCATTATATTAAGATCTTTAATCTAGCATTTAAAATATATAGTTTATTAAACATGAAATTTTTGAATTTCTGAACATTTTTTACTTTTTTTTTTACATCTGAACCATTGTGGAAAGGTGAAGAAAGAATTTAAAATTATTGAGATTAAAATGGTAATTCATTAATAAAGTATAAGAACTCTTTTCAATATAAAAGAGTAAAAAAACAGGATTTGTCCTTTTTAAGTACAGTTTGATACATTTTTGACCCAATATCAATCCCGGTATTGATCCTGGGATCAAGGAATCAATAATTTTCAATACCGTAATCCCGGGGTTGAAATTTCGGACTGGTATTCAAATCCCTAGTAAGTAGTAATTTAATTGTATGTATTTAGAGCTATTTAAGATTTCAATTCAAAATAAAATTAACACTGAACTACACCAAAAATTAAAAACTCATTTTTTGAAAATTCATCTCATCTGGAGAATCATCCATTTTGAATACTTTGAGCACTATGGGGCAAAATTCAAAATAAGCGGTCATTAAGGAATTTTTCGAAATTTTTCGAATTACGATCTCAAGTGGATTTTTTCTTGTAGAGGACATCAAAATTGACTTATATTCAAAATTTCAGGTCATTTGGTGCTATATTTGTAATTCTGTGGCTGTTTGAAGTTGAAAATGTAGGAAAAATCGGATTTTTTCACATCCTATTTAAACTGAAATATCTTTGCATTGGTTAAAGATATTGAAAAATGGAAAATTCAGTTTCTAATAGTGTTTTATAAGAGCTTTATTTTGATGCCTCATAAAGATTTTTGAGGATAATGATTACCGTTTCAAGCTTGTTGTTGTTGTTAAGAAAATTGAAATCTTACTTTCAGCTTTTCTCAAAAACAATGCAAGTAAAGGCATACAAACTATACGTCGTTCAAAAGGTCTTGATTTAAAAATGCTATTTAAATCTGTTTTTGGAATTTTCAAAATCTTTCAAAAAAGTTATCAAAAATGTCAAAAATTATTTTTTGACCTAATTTTCGGACAGACTCCAAACATGTGATACATCATTATAAAGGTATTTTAATGCTGATTATGATCGCATTTAAAGATTTGCTTTAAAGTTTCAAATTAATATAGAAAAAAGTGAAAGAATTTCTTAAAATTTAATGTTTTGACTGTTGAGACAATATTTATGAAGTGACCCCAAATTCAGTTCCTGTTTATTAAACTACATAAAAAATTGAATCAATCAGCAAAAGTTTCATATTCATATCTTTTATAGTTCTTGAGTTATTAGCGTTTGAATTTTGAAGTTTGGGTCATTCAAAAATGATATAACACTCATGGGAAAAATTGAAAACACTTAAAAGCTCTGTTGATTTTTACAAGCTCTTAATACCAAGAAGAATTTTTAATTTCTATCATTCTGATCAAAAGTTATTAGCAGTTCATTTTACATTGACTTTGAACCAATACAAAACCGATAGAACCGTTCCAAAAATTCCAAAAATAGCGGAATCGAATAGTTGAAATTGAGGCCTTTTCAGCAATATACACTTTGTCATACTTAATTTGGACCATAAATTGGCTATACCTCATTCAATGTCGTTAACTGACTTACGACAAAACTGCTAAGAATCATCCAAATATAGCACAGATCAGCACAGATCTTAATCTATCTTTTGCAACGTTTGGGTTTTGATATAAAATTTTTGATTACCCTATTGAAATTTTTAAAAATTCCATTTTGGGTTACAAAGCAACTGATCGAAGAATCAAAGTATCCCAATAAATAGGAAAAAATGTGAATGTATTGTTTTTGTTCATATTAGAAAAACAGTTTTTACGATTTTGTGAGGAAATTAAGCAAGAAAGCTAAAAATGTTGCAAGAAGAATAGTTAGTTCCTGAAATTTTACATCTTCTGCAAACTTTCGAACATATCCTTAAAAGACTATTATAAACCCATATTTATATATTAATTCAATATAATGCATTTAATTATATATAAAAACATATTTCAAAATTTTTCCATTCACAGAAAAAATATTTGAATTTGTATGGGGAGTTCTCTTCCAACCTCCGAAGTATTTCTCCTTGTGTATTTCTCGAAATTTTAATTAATTGCGTGTAAGAAGCTGTCAAAAAATAGTTCAAAGTCTTTATTAAGAACCAAGGAACAGAAAAACAGTGGAGAGAACTTAACAAAATCGTGATTTAATCAAAAATTTGGAGTTAAATTAAAATTGAGCAAAAAAGTGCAAATTTTTCCACATAACCTAGACAAAATGAAAGTTTAAATAATCGGAACACCACAGACATAATAAACGGAGGCATAATAGGTTTTATAAATTTCTAATGATTAAAAGTTAAAAACTTTAGGTGTTTTGAACGGTCATCACTTTAAGAAAAATAAAAAAAAACTACGTTTTGAAAATAACTAAAACAATTGGAAATTTTTACTTACATTAGTAAATCTTTTTGATGATTTCTCTCAGTGAGAGTTCTTTTTTTGCAGTTTTGAATTTTTAAATCAGTGTCTGTCTTGTATTTTTCTTCTCTCTTATCAATGAGATCAGAAACAATTTTAAGACGAACCTGTTGGCATTCATTTATATCCTTTTCCCTCGCAATCCATTCTTCCCATTCAAAGGCTTCCAATGCTGCTACTCGTGATGGGATTTCACTTTGTGCTTTAATTGGAGGCAATGTCGTTTCCCACATCCTTCTTTTTCTTGCACGTTCAACAATTTCAACTTCCTTAATTCCTGGATAAGAAACTGATTCTATGATATCAGCGACAAAAACTACTTCTGGAATATTGTCTGATGTGATTTCTTTAGTAAAACATTCGGGCAACCAAGATTTTGTTTGAGCTGATGATTCCCTAAAAACCGTATTTTCTTGAAGTTTACTCTGTTTGCAAAATTCTTGACAACTTACCTATATAAAGTTTGAATGAACGTACTATCCACATTTTTATCTTCCTTATTATTTCTGTTTTCTATACTTTTGTCAGCCATTAATCCAACATTTACTCTACGACAATTGTTTATAGGATTACAAAAAAAATTTGACCTTTCTTTTCCAACAACGGAATAATATTTTTTATTTTGAGAGTTATTGCATTTAAAATGTAATGGTAATTCATTTCTTTGATAAGCAAAGCAATTTCTTTCTTCATATGACAATTCTGAAAACATGGAATTATAAACAGGATATACTCTTATTGGTGCAGATCTCGTCAAAGCTATGCAGTTTTCTTTATATAAACTTTTTGGATCAGATGTTGTATATATTGGATCAAAGAGATGATCAAAAACCCGAGTTGGTGCAACAGAATGGCTTCTAAAACTCATATTCTTTTCTTGTAAAAGTTCACAAATTTATAAAATAGTTAATAGTTTTTTAAAATTGCACAAACTGAATGTACTAATATTTACGGCAAATTTAATTATTATGCTGTATCGATGGAGATAAATGTTTTTGTCATGGTTGCAATGTGCAACCCAGGGGCATAGCCAGAAAAATTTTTGTGGGGGGGGGGGGGGCGATAGGATAATTTGAAATGCTAATTTATTTCTATTCTTACCTTTACTTATATTTCATGAAAAATCAGCATCATATCTTTCAACCTTTAAAATATTTTTACACTTACAAAATTCAGATTTATATATTTTATTGTGCATTTTTTACCAATTACTTGTACACATGATATCATATATTAGTTTATTAAATTATTTATTAACTATGTGATACTTTTATTGTTCACTGGAAATAATTCTTCGATTAAAACAAAAATACAAAATTTATTTTTAAAAACTTAATTATTGTAGCCAAATATTAATTTTCATAAATTTATCTAAGTATGTAATTTAACTTCTCTTTTAAAATTATAGCGACAATTTATTGTGATTATTTTTTAAATAATACAAAAAAAGTTTAATTTAGAAAACAATTTAATATTTGATGAAATTTTGTAGTGACATTGGATGGTATAAGATGGATCTGAACGTTCAATATTAATTTATCTTTTTTGAGATACTTTCGCTCTTGGCATTCACCGCGTGCCTTATGAACTTATATATTTTTGGGAACATACAGGCCTACAGTGAAAACCAGGAGAAAAATGCTTTAAATCACTTGTAGATGCTGATCGTTCAAAAGTCCTTTGTTGTATACCATGATTTTAAATTATAAGTATGAACTAATGAGTTAGTAGATACAAATTAAATATAGATAAAATTAGTAAATACTTTATAAAATCACCTTCTTTTTTTGACCGTTACGTAGCATTGAATTCATTGCCTAAGCATCATCATATTATATTTTCACTTTTCTCGTTGATATTCCAGAACTAAACATTTAAATCAAAAATTATTTTTAAAGTTTTTTTTTATCACAAATAAAATATAAACATCAAGAAATTATATTATATTATTAATAATAATAAATTTTCAATGGCAAAAATTTGATGTTCGAATGCCATCTTTTGTCAAACATTATTATAATTTATACCAGTTTAAATTTGAAACGAACTCTATTTAGAAGTATCTTCTTATAATTATCAAATATTTTTTTGGCATTTAATTTTTAATAAACTTAAATAAACAAAACAATAATTTTTTTTTTGCTTTCAGACTTAGTACTTCCGATTTTGTGTCCATATATGCATTTTTTTCTCAAATAAAAAAATAAAAATCTGCTGCAGCTGCAACTGACACTTTTGTCAACTGTAGCAGTGATGCTAAATTGTTTTGAACTTTTAATTTATTTAACCTATCAACTACAGATTAATTATAAATCAAATTTGATATTTTTTAAAATAAACACTATCAAACTTAATTATTATCATTACAATTTTAAAAAAATAATCTTTACTACTTTTATTAATGGATTACAAAAGAGTATAGACTATTCTGTGAAAATGTAATGATAAAACTTTGTATAAGTTATCCTTCAACTGAGAACCGTTTTGTGCGGCGTGATTAATCTATATGACTGTAAGGCAACAAAAATCTTATGTATAAAATAATTTAAAATTGAGTAGAGCAGGAAATATTTCCCTTAATTCTATATGCATGTATTGACATTATGTTAGTAGTTTTCATATTACAGATTTAAAATAATATGTGTATGCACAAAATTAAAACCCAGGGGTTGCTAGTTTGAGTTATTTCTTTTGACTTATGTACATTGCTAACAATAAGATTTTTATGTAACATATTTTTTGATTGACTATCATCTATGTTCGTAAAAATTTTAAGTGTACATCATCCATAAAAAATTCTGAATTCACGTTAATTTTTTCAAGAAGAATTTTTAAACTTGTTCCTTTTGTACAAACTGTGAATTTATTTTTAAAAAAATTAATATAATAGTTGGTTGTTTGATACTTTATTTTTTTTTCAAAAATCAGGCAATTAAGGAAGTAAGTTTTTTTAAGAAAGTTTTTGGTATAAGTTTTACCTGTTTTAAAAAATTAAGAAGATACATTATATATATAAAAACAACTCTTTGGTTAAAAATTATTAGATCGTTTGAAATAATATCCCTTTACAAAAAAACAAAGGACCCTTTTAAATTAAAAATAACGTCTTATAAAGAACATTTAACTTTACTTTCAGATAAGTATGTAAAAAATGTATAAATAAAAAGAAAAATTTACCTCTAAGGATCACAAATATTTTAAAATAAAATTTAACTTTACATACTTACAGAACAATGGGAACATCCCATTGACGAATGTTAACATATGGTGAATTTTCTCTTGAAATTAGTTTAATTTCACTTATAAAATGCAAACTTCACAAAATAAGTAAATTATATGCATACTGTTAAAAACACCACTAAAATGGCTCCTTTGAAGTATCGTAGAGGAAAACTTTAGAATTTCTTTAACTTTAGAAAACCAGCCCGTTTTTTATTGATTTTTCCACCATTTTATTTTTCATGCAAGAGCTTATCTTAGAGTTGTTTAAAAGTTCCAATTTTCTTCTTATTAGTTGAGAATTTCACACTTCTTATCTATTTTTGCTGATAAAAAATTACAAATTTTTCTTTCTTTTAATAATTAATTTATGATTACTTGAAAGAAAAAAATCTCAATGAAAAAAAACCTTTTCACAACAAAAAAATATATTAAGGTAAAAAAAATTAATGTCAGCACTACAGAGCGTTTTCGAGCTTTCTAGTTGACGCCTAAACGTCTACTATGAATTAACATTGGTACATAAAACCCCTGTCCTCTATTATACAACGCATCTTCGACGCGAGATGATGCTGATTTCGCAACTCAAAGAATCTTCTATTTCATTCATGCACACGTACTCTTGAATGTTATCCTTATTACTCTTACAAAAATCATATACATAAATATATAGAGAAGTGATGATGCCCGGGCAGAGGCGACAGTAGTATTGCGATCTCCGTTTCTCCCACACATCAAGGGTGAAGCAGCGGATGCTGGAAAACGGATCGATAAAATACGAATGGCTGAATGCTTTATATGTAGTAGTAGTTTTATTTCCTTCTTTTGTCTTTTCATCTGATTTACTCACACAAAGTTGTTGCAGCGCCTGGGAAAAATAGAATGCAGCCATTTCATTATGGGGAAATGAGATAGATGCCTCTTGATGGGCCCGCTACCACTTTTCATTTTCCATTCATATTTCAAAAAATGATAAACATAGATGCTCATATACATATAAAAATTCCTATTCTTAAATGTACTTACGTAAGTATACTATACCAAAAAAGAAAAATATTCTTAAAAAATTTTCCTACTAAGACATATTCAAATGCTTTTGAACGAGAGATATCACACGAAGCATAAAGAAAAGTGAACAAAAATGGTAAATGGTAAAAAGGAGCAAAGTCGCTGGAGCAAAATTACAGTACTGTAAAGATTGGTATATAAATATATACATACACTGGGTGGTTTTGGAGATAATACAAAATATAAAAGTAACAAGGGTTGGCATATTAAACAAATTATTTGTAAAGTTTCATTGCGCTATTGAGTCTTTCTAAAAGTACACTCTGCTTTAACTATGGCCACTTTGTATTTAATTTTACAGAAATATGTAATCTTAATCGAAAAAAGCAAACTTAGAAAATCACAAAAAAAAATTTATAACAATTTCTTGAGGTTTCTCCAGGTATTTCCATTTTTTCGTTCTCAAAATTTCACCAAAATGTACGGTTTTTGAAAATCAAGTTAAACTGAAAATTAACATTTTAACATTTTTTAAATGATTTTGACTTAAGTTCTAGGTTCTAAGCCGTTCGATTTCGTCTTTATATCTTAATAGGTTTTTTTTGTTGTAAAAATGTTTAAAATATTTTGAATTTTGAATTACCCTATTTTTACGTTACTAGCCAGTGGCTTATGGGATGAAAAAAGTTTTCAAAATCGTGAAAAAAAGCATAATAACGGATAGTGGCTTGTTAAAAAAATGTCAACAAACAAGAAAGATTAATAATTTTCATGGAAATATTAAATTTTTCAAGTCCAAACTATTTTAAAACTATTCAAGCTATTGATTCCTTTTATTTAATCACTTTTAAATTATTTTATATAGTTTAATTAATGGAAAATTGGTAGTGGCTTAATAACGAAAAAGAATAATTTTCAGATCCAATTTTCTTTATCAAGCTACTGGCTTAGTAACGAGTAGTGGCTTCTAAAGTAAAAATAGGGTACTTGAAAATTTGGCATGTAAATTAAAGAATGAAGATTGTATAGCTGAGTATAGCAAAATAATTTTTTTCAAAAAATCCTACCAAATGAAGATATTTTTTAACCCAAAATGTGCATGAAACTGATTTACACCCCTGAAACCTGAAACTTTACCTCTTAATGTTAATTTTAAATAATTGAGTCTCAGAGGCGTAACGAGGTTGGTCAATATTTAATCAAAATGGATATAAAAAATCATATGAAGATACACTTTTTTTTTGTCTAGCTTAAAAATTTTATTTTTGTAAAATTTTATAATTATTTAACAAGAAAATAGACAGAAGAATGGTAAAATTTTATATCATTTTTTTTATAAAATTTCTTACCTTTCACATTTGAAAACTGTCTGATAATATTAGTGGTGCATGCGCAAATTCATCTAGATATGCTGAATTGGCAAATCAACACACCCTTTATTATAATGAATATTAAGAACAATAATAAATGTGAAATCTTCCAATATTTTTTTTTTTTGCACAATAAACTTCAATACTTTCATTCATACACAAATAAGTTGAAATTAGATGAGTTCTGATTATAAAGTAAGAATCAAATGATTTGCGCTTAATTAACCACATATTTCTGCCACTTTACTGCTTTTGATTAAACTTTTTACAT